TCCCCCCCTTTCCCTACCCACCTCGACTGTCCCCTCCCCCCCCACCCCACACACACACCCCACACCCCACACACCTACACCCACTATGCTATCCCGCACCCTCCGTATCCTTCATCGCATGAGTTGTCCCGTCTCCGCATCCGCATCCTCCTCCTCCTCCTCCTCCTCCTCCTCCTCCCTCTCGCACATCTCGCCCACTAACCCCTCGCTCCCGTCCATGGTCGAAGTGGGAGGAAAGAAGTCGACGGCAAGGTCGGCATCGGCACATTCCATTGTCTTCCTTCCTGCTCATCTGACTCGGACTCTGGTGGAGATGGAGCCAGACGCTGTTCTCTCGCACTCGGTCCTCGATCCCAAGCGCAATCCCCTGCTCGCAAACACTCCGCATCATAACCTTGATCAACCAGCTGCTGACAACGATCACGCCACTGGCCCCCTCTCCAAGGGACCTGTCTTTGCTACTGCTGTCATTGCCGGTACCATGGCTGTTAAGCGGACTTCGGATCTCATTCCCATGTGCCACCCTCTCCCCATCACGGGCGTCGAGCTCGACATCGGCATCGACGTCCCGGCCTCGGCGCTCCGCATCGTCTGCACTGTCCGTGTAGATGGGAAGACAGGCGTCGAGATGGAGGCACTCACCGGTGCATCTGCCGCTGCGCTCACCGTCTACGACATGACCAAGGCTCTCTCCCACGACATTGTCATCGCAGACACCCGCCTCCTCGCCAAAGACGGCGGCAAGTCTGGCGCCTATCGTGCTCCAGCTTGCATCTAACTGCTGTTTACAAACACCAAAAGCGCGTCAGCGCCGCAGATCCTCGAATCGCAGTGCCTCGCCGCCTCCGCGAGCCGCATCGCTCCCCTGTGCCCGCCGGACGTACGGCGACTGGTACTTGGGCGTCTTGAGCGGCGACCGTCCTGCCGCCCCGCTCACAGACGTCCCCACGCCACTAACTGTCCCGTGGCTCCGGACAGCAGACTCGCGCACCGGCACCTCGCCTCCGGCAGACTCGTTACGCATCCGCTGCACGTATGGCTCGCCACGGTACGCAAACGTCTCGTTCCACTCGCGCTCCCACCCGGCAACCTCGCGTGAGAGCTCTGCCGTCAGCTGCTGCATCTCGTCGACCATCCCGCGGTCTGCAGGTCCGCCCGACGACGCTGACAGCCGGTACCTCAGGAACTCACGCCGCGCCGCCTTTTGCACAAGAGGCAGCTTGCCGGACAGCTTGTTCGCCTCGCGCGAGTACAGCCGCACAAGCCCGTGCACGTCCGGTGCAATCTCGGTCGCCCGGGCGAGGAACCCGTTCTGCACCTCGACATCCTCGTCGAGCGCCTTCCACAGCTCGCGCACCCGGTTCTTCAGCTGCACAAGTTCTGCAGACGCGCTCTCCGCGTGCGACGCTGCCTCCTTGGACGCCGCCATTGACGCCGCCGCAGACCGGCTCACGCCGAGCGACCGCTCCGACGCCGCAAGCGACGACAGATTCGCCGCCTCTTGGAACGACGACGCCTCGTGCGCACGCGCCTCGACCTCGTGAAGGTACCGGTCCTGCAGCTCCGAAATGACCTTCTCGTACTTGCTCTGCAGCTCGAGCTGGTAGTCAAACTTCCACTTGCCAAACGCAATCTTGAACTTACGCAGCTGCGCCTGCGATGCACGCGCAGACGCGTTGGCATCCGACGCCACAGACAGTGACTTAGCCTCGACGTCGGCAACCTGCTTGTGGTACAGCTTGTCGTACTGCTCCATCATCGCCTCATACTTGGCGCGAAGCTTCTCCTCGTAGCTCGACATGGTGTTGAGATGCTTCCGCTTCAGCTCCTCGAGCGCATCGGCCCAGCGCGTCTTCTCGTTCTCCTCAAGCTCAGAGTTGACCGCAAGCGCAAGCTCGAGCTGCTCGCTCTTGGCCCGCAGAAGCTCGTCGTAGTGCGCCGTCAGCCGTGCCTCGATTTTGGCCTCACGGCTCGCTGCCTCGGCCCGCCACGACGATTCCAGCTCGGACATGAGCGTCGCATACCGCATCCGCGCCTCCGTCTCCGCCTTGTCCTCCATCTCGGCAAGCATCCGCATCCGCTCCATCTCCATCCCGGCCCGCCGCTCCATCTCCTCCATGTCGCGCTTGAGCCACCGCTCCTGCTGCGCCTTGAGCTCGGCCTGACTCTGCTCAACCACAACCTGGAACTTGGCCCGTAGCTGCTCCTCGTACTTGGCCCGGTCCGCCTGGTCCTGTTTGGCCGCGTCGAGCAGCCGCGAGTCGCGGTCCTCCATCTCCGTCCGGTAGTGCCGCTCCAGCTCTTGCTTTGCCTGCACAAACGACCGTCGCTGCTCCTCCGCAGCAGCCTCAAACTTGGCCCGCTGCTCAGCCTCGTACGCGTCGCGCTCCTTGGACGCCGCCTCGAGCGCCTCCCACTTGTGCGCCTCGATCGCCTCCTTCTCGCGCTCCAACCGCGCAATCTTGGCAGAGTAGTCTGCCATCACAGACTCGTACTTGGCCTGAATTTCCTTCTCAAACTGCAGCCGCTCCTTGCTCGCCTTCTCCTCAGCCTCGCGCCACTGGCCTAGCACCCGCTGCACGTTAGCCTGTGCCGTCCGGTTCAGCTCGTCCCGCATCTCGCGGAGCTTCTCCTTCTCTGTCCGCACAAGCTTGTCGTACTCGCCCTGCCACCGCCGCTCCGCCTCGGCCTGCGCACGCGAGTAGTGCTCGTGGAGCTCCTGCTCCCACTCGGCCCGCTGCTCGATCGCCTCCTCACGTGCCTTCTGCCGCGCGTCCTCGGCAAGCGCGAGAATCGCAGCCTCCTGCTTCTTCTGCACGCCTTCGTACTCGGCCTTCATCTCAGCCTCGATCTCGTTTCGTGCCTTTTCCAGCTCAAGCCGACTGGCCCGCTCCGTATCAGCAAGCTCCGTTGTCAGCCGCGAAATTGCAGCCATCTTGTCGTTGATCTCAGACGAAAACTGGGCTTTGAGCTCGTTGCGTGCCTTGGTCGCCGCTGCTTCCATGTCGCGCATCTCCTTGGCATGTGCCGCCTTGGTCGCAACCGTCCGGGTTGCCATTGCTTCCTTCTCCTTGATCATTACGCTCACCTTGTCCTCCAACTCGCGGTTCGTCATTCGCAGCTCGTGAAGTGCAGCCTGGACCTCGGCCTCGTACTCCGTCCGCTCGCGCATGATCTCGTCCACAACCTTGAGCTGTTCCTCGGTCGTCGTCGCCAGCTCGCGACGCTTGGCCTCCAAGAACTCGCGGGCTTCGCGGTACACCTCCTTCTTATGCGCTTCAGCTCGCGCAAGGAACTCCTGGTAAAGCTCCTTCTCGGCACGCGCAAGCTCCTTGCGCTTCGCCTCAGCCTCAGCCTCGTCGGCACGCTTCGCAGCCTCGATCTCGGCGCGCATCTCGCTCTCGCGGGCCGCAGCCTCGGTCAACATCTCGCGACGCAGTTCCTCGACCTCGGCGCGCCGCGCATCACTCTCGGCAGCAGCGGCTGCACGCTCCTCACGGAGCTTGCTCTCGTTCGCCGCCTTCTCAGACGCAACCTGCCGCATCAGCGACTCAAAGTTGGCCTGCATCTTGGCCTCCGCAGCAAGCGCAGCCGCGTTCGCCGCAGCCTCGGCGTCCTTGCGCTCCTCGAGCATCTTGACCACAAACGCAGATCGCTCGGCCTCGTCTGCAGCCCGCTTGGCCGCAAGCGCGTCGAGCTGCGCCTGAACATTCGCTCGCATCGCCTCCTCACGCTGCGAGAGCTCGTTCCGGCGCGCCTCCAGCGCCGCGGACTGCTGCGCCTTGGTCTCCTCAAACGCAGCCATGAACGCGGCCTGACGCTCCTCGAGCTTGCCCTCGCGCTCAGCAGAGAACTTCTTCACCTCGCGCAGCTTATCCTCGTACTTGGCCATCAGCGCCGCTTCAGCCTCGGCGAGCTTGGTGCTCACCGCACGCTCGCGTGCCTCTATCTCCTGCCGCGCCCGCCGTGCCTTGGTCTCCATTGCCTCTGCAGCCTCCTCGAGCTCGGCGTTCCGCGCCGCAATCTGAGCATCAGCCTTTGCGTTGACCTCCTTCTCAAACTTCGCCTGCTCGGCGACAAGACGATGTGCCTTCTCGTCAAGATCGGCAAGCTTGGCCCTATGTGCTGCGTGCAGCTCGGCCTCGTAAGCGCGCTTCTCCTGCTCCAGCTCGGAACGCCGGTCGTTGAGTGCTTCCTCCTTCAGCGCAAACGCCTGCTCGAGCTCGTCCATCCGAGCCCGGGCCTCGGCCGCCGCACGCTCGGCCGCGAGCTTGGCCTCTTGCTCCTTCTGCGCCGCCTTCTCGCGCAGCGTCGCCGAAAGCGTCTCATACTTGGCCACCAGCTGCCGCTCAAAGTTGGCCCGCTCCTCGGCATCAACCTTAGCCTGCCGCAGCCGAGCGTTCTCCATCTTTTCCACCTTGGCGGCCGCCTCGGCCTTGACCTCACGCTCGCGGGCAAGCGCAGCCTCGACAGCATCCTCCATCTCGGCACGCTGCCGCGCAGACTCGATCTCGAGCTCCTGCTTGCGCGCCACAAGTTCACCACGGAGCTCGCGCTCCTTGGCCTCAAACGCGCGGTCAAGGTCGGCGCGCTGGTGTGCAGCCTCGAGCGCGAGCTGCTGCTCCCGCTCGTACAGCTCCTTCTTGGCTGCCGCAAGCTCGGCATCCTTCTTGCGTGCCGCCTCGGCCATTTCAACCCGGAACGCCTCCTGCTTCTCGCGGAGCTCGCTCTCAAACGCGTTGCGGTCGGCGTCGAGCTCCATCGTCCGCTTTTCGAACTCGGACTCGAGTCGTGCAAGTGCAGCCTGGCGGTCAGCCTCGGCCTTGGCGCGCGCAGCCTTGGCCTCTGCCGCCAGTGCCGACGCCCGCTCGTACATTGCCTTTTCAGTCTCGGCAAGGGCAACCGCTGCTGCCTCGGCCGCAGCCTTGTCGGCTGCACGCTCTTCCGCAAGCTGCTTGTACACCGCCTGCTTGAACGCAGCCTTGTCCGACTCGCTAGCCGCAAGCGCAGCCTTGAGCTCGGCCTCAACCTCGGTCTTGCGCGCGTCAAGCGCAGCCTCCTTCTCGGCCAGCGCAGCACGGAGCGCCGCAAGCTCAGCCTCATCCGCAGCTCGCGCCTCGGCAAGCTTGGCCGCCATCGCAGACTTGAGCTCGGACTCGCGGACCTCGAGCCCCCGCTCCTTCTCGGCAAGCAACGCCCGCGCCGTCGCCGCCTTGGCCAGAGCCTCCTCCTCCATCTCGGAGAGCTTGGCCTTGGCCTCGGCCAGCGTCTGTGCGTCCTTCAGCCGCTCGTCCTCGAGCTCACGATGGACCTTGGCGCGGAACGCCTCCTTTGACTCTTCCAGCTGGCGAATCTGCGCCTGCATGTGGTCATATATCTCGTTGCGTCGCGCCTCCACAGCTTCCATTGCCTCAGCATGCTGCCGCCGAAGCGCTGCCCGCTCCTCCTCGAGGTCTGCACGAGCCGCCTCGGCACGCGCCGCAACGTCCCGCTTGGCGGCCGCCAGCTCGGCGTCAGCCTCCAGCCTCTTGGCAGAGTACTCGTTGACCAGCGCGTCGAGCTTGGCTGCTGCCTCGGCCTCGAGCTCGGTCCGGATGACGTGCGTCTTGGCCTCCAGCTCCAACCGAGCCTCCTCCAGTGTTGACTGGACCGCACGCTCGGCGACCTTGATCGCCGCCTCGCGCTCGTCAAGCACCGCGTTCTGTTTGGCCCGTGACGCCTCCAACGCCGCCACCATCGACGCCTCGTACTCGGCTTTTCACCCTCGAGCTCTGCCCGCAGCCGCGCTTCGAGCTCGCCGCGCTCCAACTCCATCTTGGATGCAGCCTCGCGCTTGTAGCTCTCGAGCTTGGCAGCCACGGCAGCCATGTCAACGTCCTTGGAGGCAAGCGCCCGGTTGTGTTCCGCACGCATCTCCGACAGCTGCTCCTCGTGAGCAATGGTGAGGTCTGCAATAGCAGACCGGCCGCGTGCCTTCTCCTCCTCCACAGCCGCGTTGAGTGCCGAGAGCTGGTTGGCCAGCTCGGCCTGCCGCTCCTGTGACACCGCAAGCTGCGACTTGAGAGCATCAAGAATGCCATCCATCTCGGCCTGCGCCGCCGCTGACTTGGCCGCAAACGCAGCCTGACGGTCAAGCTCGCGCTTGGTTGCAGCCTGCTGTGCTGCGGCGTACTCGTTCTCGCGCTTGACTGCGGCCTCTCGGAGCTCGTTGTGTGCGTTGTCAACCAGCGCCTGTGCCTTGATCAAGATGTCGGCCTCGCGCGAGTCAAGTGCCGCCACCTTGTCCATGTACTCGGCCTCAAGCGCTGCCAGCCGCTTGGCCAGCGTCTCACTGGCCTCAGCCTCAACCTCAGCTCGATGCTTGGTAAACTTGGCCTTGGCCTCCTCCAGCGCCGCAGCATCGGATGCCGCGCGCTGCTTGAGCGCCACCACCCGCTCGTTGTACGTTGCCTCGAGCGCTGCCTCGCGGGCTGCAAGTGCCTCAGACGCCGCCGCCTCCAGCTCGGCCTCCTTGGTAGCCAGCAGCGTCGCCACCTCCTGTCGCTTGGAGAGTAGCGCCTGCTCCTTAACTGACCGGGCGCGGTTGTGCTCTGCCACCCGTGCCGCGTGCTCGTCGGCCATCGCCTGTAGCTTGTCGATCATCGCGTGCTCAGCCTCGAGTCGCGCCGCCTCGTTTGCAGCCAGCTGCTCGGCAATCGACTGTTTGGTACCGTTGAGCGCGTCGTTGAGCTTGCGCTCGCGTGTCTGCAGGGCAGCAAGTTGCTCGTCGTACGCAAGCTGGAGCTTGGTCATGTACTCGGCCTTTTCGTCCTCGACAGTAGCCGCAGACGCGGCTGTCTCGTCCATCAGTGCCCGATGCTCCTCGAGCAGCTGCGACCGAAGCGCCTCTGTCTGAAGTGCAAGGTCCTTCTCCTTGCGGGAAAAGTCAGTGGCAAGCTGTTTCTCGCGTGCCAGCAGCGCCTTTTCACGGGCCGCCGCCTTGTCAAGCAGCTCCGCCTGAAGCGCCGCGTGCTTGGCCGACAGCGCAGCCTGCATCTCCTCGCGCTCGGCCTGTGCTGCAGTCTCGCGCTCGGCGAGCGCGTCCCACAGCGCCGACTCCTTGTTGCGCAGCGCCTCAGCTTGACTGTCAAGCCGGGCTTGCATCTCCTCGCTGTGCGCGTCGAGCTCGCGCCGGCGCTTCTCGAGGTGGGCCTCGTCGGCGGCCTTGGCGGCCTCATACTTGGCGCGCATGTCCTTCTCGAACGCAATTTTGGCCAGCCGCAGCTCCTCAGCCTTGTTGTCGAGCTCGACAATGCGCAGCTCCGCCTGCCGCTGAAGCTCGGCCTTGAGCGACGTCGCCTCAAACTCGCGCTCCGAGTCGCGTGTCTGCATCTCCTCCTCGATTTTGGCCTGCTTGGCGAGCAGCTCCTTCTGGAGCGTCGCCACCTTGCGCTGGAGCTGGGCCTCGTTCTCGTCACGTTGCTTGCGGAAGTTGTCGAGCATGTCGGCCTCGCGCGCCTCAAGTTCGGCCTCGCGTGCCAGGAGAATCTCCTCCTGCTGCCGGATCCGGGCCTCTTGCTCGGCGAGGAACCGCTCCTCAAACTCGGCCTGGATGTTTTGGTACTTGGTCTTCATCGCCAGCTCAATCTCCTTCTGGACCTTTTGCGCCTCTACAGCCTTGTCGCGCTCGAGTTCCGCAACAGTGTCTGTCATTTCGGACAGCTGGACCTGGAGCTGCACAATCTCGTCGTTGAGCTTGGCAGTAAGCTCGGCGGCATCGCGCGCCGCCTGGCTCTTGAGCAGCGACGTCTGTTTGGTCAGCGCTTGCTCAGACTCGGCGAGCGCCACCGTCGCAGCCTGCAGCTCTTCGGCGAGCTTGGCGTTGGCGTCCTGAGACTGCGCCAGCTCGCGCTTGAGCACGCCGAGCTGGCCCTGGACCGAGCTCTCCATCTGTGCCACCATGTCCGCAAACTGCGCTGCCCGTTCGGCCTCGGCCTTGGCCGTTGTCGCCACCAGCTCGTCAAGCTTGGCTGACCGCGCCTTGATCGCCAGCGCGTGCTGCTGGCGGAGCGCCGCCAGGGCATCCTCGTACTTGTCCACCGTAGCCTCGTTCTCGCGCACTAGCGAGGCCCGCTCGTCCTCAAACTTACGCTGCATGGCCGCCATAGTTGCGGCGTGCTTGGCCTTGACCTCGCGCTCGATGGCGTACTTGGTGTCAGCGAGCTGGGCGTTTGCCTCGCGCAGCGCGTCCTCGAGCTCCTCGATCCGCGCATCGAGGGCCGACTTGTGCTTGATGGCCTCAACCCGGAGTGTCTCCGACTTGCGCTCGTAGCTGACCCGCAGCTCGCGGCGCTCCGACGATATGCGGTCCATGGCGTCGCGGATCCGTTCGTCATGCTCGCGCTCCATGGCCTCACGCCGGGCGCTCAGCTCACGCTCGGCTTCCTCCATGTGCCGCGCCAGCATCTCGCGGGCATCCCGCTCGAGCTTCTCGCGCCGAGCCGAAGCCTCGCGCTCCAGCTCCGAGCGGAGTGCCAGAGCGCGGGCCTCAGCCGCGCGCGTCGCCTCGTCGCGGTGGCGGTCGATTTTCTCGCGGAACTCGCGCTCGAGCGCATCCCGCCGTGCCCGCAGCGTGTCCGCCGCCGAGCTCGACGCCGCCGCCGAGTTTGCGCTTGCCGTTGCCAGCTGGTCGCGGAGGACAGAGGCTTCGTCGCGAGCTCGAGCCGTCTCATCCTCGGCCTCACGAATGCGCCGCCGCGCAGCATCAAGCTCCCGTCGGAGCTTGTCGGCGGTGCTCTCGGCGTCACGTCCGCGGCGCTTGGCGCTTGCCAGGTCACGCTCCAACTGCGAGATACGCGAGTTGAGAGCAGCAGTCTCGAGCGGGTCACGGGTCTCTGTGACCCGCGGTGGTGGAGAGCTCGACGGAGGAGGTGGGCGTCTTGCACTTGCCTCGGTCGACGTTGTGGTTGTAGCCAAAGATACAGGCGGACCGTCGTCAGACTCGGAGTCGTCCATAGTCAAAGCCTCTAGCATCTTGAGAGCATCATCATCACCTGACATCTTCTCCTTTGTGTTTCAACAGATACCACTCACAGCACTGGGGGAGAGGGGAAGGGAGAAAGGGAGAAAGGGGGAAGGGGGGGGTGGGGTGGGGGGGAAGATGTGGGTGAGGTGTGCGGTCAGTCAGGCCGTTATGGTCGTTGAGAGCGGCTTAAGAGCGCGCCGCGCAAAACATTCAAAATTTTCGCCGCAAAAGCCGTTTGGCCGCCGCACTCGAGGAACGGTGACGGATGTGACACCTCGCGGGGTGTCTGCCTCGATGTGGGCTTGGCGTCCTCGGACAACAATGGCTACGACTGCCTCGTCGCACTTATAGACAGCTACGACGCATTTCGCCTCCACAAACGCCTCCAGACTCTCACGATCAGATTATCCCATCATCCCCCTCAGGCATCAGGCGAGCTGGGCACTGCGCTACATCTGTCAGCACGACACGACCACGGCAGTACGCGTCGGCCGCTTCGACCTCGACACCATTCTCGGCAGCGCTAACATGAGTGCTTGTATGATTTGCCGCCGCTCTCGTCCGCTTCCATCTGCCGCTCAACAGGAATGGCATGACAATTTGGGCACACGAGGAATGGCACCGCACCACGTGACGCACTGACGGTATGTTTGGCCATTGAAAAACATTGATAAAACATGGTCTCATCCATTGTTACTCGAAGGGACTGGGTCGGTGGAAGGGAAGGGAAGGGGAGGGGGGGAGGTGGTTGTAGAACTCTAGCGTGGTCATGGTTGTAGTGGTGAGGACCATAATTGAAGAGATGGTATTTGTTGCGTTTGCAACTATGTATGTTGTGTTGTGGAAGGTTGTTCTGCTTGGGTGTTGCATGTAGAGGTCAAGTTGTCTATGGCTGTGGCGGGCCGGAAGCGACAATTCGAGGGAAACGCAGGTGTCGCCAACTTGGCCTCTCCCTCCTCCTCCTCCTCCTCCTCCTCCTCCTCCTCCCACCGTCCACACCGTTCCTACTCACATCATACATGTACTACTTGACATGCTCCGTGTATGCATATGCTCGAATGGCCTCTCCCCTGTTCGACACTGAACTCGTTCGTTCGTCTGCTGCTGCTGCTGCTGCTGCTGCTGGTGGTGGTGGTGGTGGTGGTGCTGCGCAGGCCACACACACACACACACGCCTCCTTTTGAGCCAAAACGGGAGACGCCCTGATTCCATCCGTATGTCATCTACTGGTGATGGACCGGTGGCTGCGGCTGGGACAAAGCTGTTTGGTGTGAGTCTGGAAGAGGGTCTGGCTAGAGATGGTTTTGCTTATGAGCTGCCGGCGGTGGTTGATCGCTGCATCGAGTTCTTGGATGCTGAAGGGCTCGAGGCAGAGGGTGTGTTTCGCCTCTCGGGCGCCCAGTCCAAGATCAACGCGCTCAGGGCCGAGTACGACTCGGGTGGAGATCCGGACTTGTTTGAGACCAACGATCCGCATGTTGTGGCGGGGCTCTTCAAGCTGTATCTCCGTGAGCTCACCGAGCCGCTGCTGACGTTCTCGCTCTTCCATGGGTGGATCGCGGCCGGGGCGGCAGACTCTCTGGCGACGCGGCGCGACCTGTACCGTGCGCTGTATGCGGCGCTGCCCAAGCCACACCGCGACTTGCTGCGGCACTTGTGTGCGTTTCTCTTCCGGGTTCAGCAGTTTTCGGCGGTGAACAAGATGGGCGTGGCGAACCTGGCGACGGTGATTGGGCCCAACATCCTGCGGGCGCCCGGGGCGTCGATGATGGCCACGGTCCAGTACACTCCGCACATTAACCAGATCACGTCGGACCTGATCGAGATCGGTAACGAGACGTTTTTCGAACCGCCGCTGGCCGGTCCTTTTGAGTACATTGCGGTGGCGCAGGCGCAGTTTCCGTACGCGGCTCAGTACGAGGGCGAACTCTCGTTTGATGCCGAGGCCTTTCTCTTTGTCATTCACAAGGACGACGATGGCTGGTGGGAGGGCAACTGCAACGGCATGATTGGCATCTTTCCGCACAACTACGTCAAGATTTTCCTCGTTCTCAAGGAGGGCAACGGCTCGCCTTCCATGCCGGTGACCGGTGAGGCCGACGGCACTACGGCCTCGCAGCCAGTGCTAGACGAGGTCGAAAAGATTGTGTCCGAGGCGCTGGCGGTGACGGCCGAGCCGGATGTGCTCGTCGGTCCGCCGCCGGCTCTGCCGGCCGTACTGGCTGATCCGGAGCGGGAGGCTGCGGCACCGCCGGAGCCGGCAGCTGAGGCGGCAAGCGAGCCTACGCCGGCCAAGGCCGCCAAGCCCACGCCGGCCAAAGCCGCCAAGCCCGCGCCGGCCAAGGCAACCAAGCCTGTGCCGGCCAACTCCAAGGACGAACCCCGTGCGGACGTGGCGGCTGCGAAGGAAAGCGCGGCGCCGAGCCAGGTGGTAAGCGCGAGCGACCAGGCGCGACTGGATGTGCGAGCGGCGACGCGGACGACAATGGGTGGGATCGGCAAAAAGGCGGTGATGGCCGAGGTCGACCGGCTGCGAATCATGATGGATGAGGACGGCAAGCGGTTCCGCGAGCTGAGGCGGTCGTACGACGGACTGGTGAAGCACTCGGCCCGGCTGGATGACCTTGTGGTCGACGTGCAGGCCAAGGCCAAGAAGCTGGAGCGTGAGCGGGTCGAACTCGACGAGAAGCTGTCGGTCAAGGAGGCTGAGCTCAAGACGCTGCGCGGGCGGATCATCGAGTCTGAGAGCTCGTCGCTGGCGGAGCGCGGCGAGCTGTCTGCAGAGCTTGCATCGATCCGGCAACAGAAGAGCGAGGTCTCTGAGACGCTTGCGGCGTCCGAGGCCGAGGTTCGTGCTCTCAAGTCCAAGATCCGTGACCTGGAGATTGGTGTTGCGGAGTACGAGGCCAACGAGGTCAACATGCGCAACGAAGAGCGGCGGCTCAACTCGCTGTTGAAGAAGGCTGTGGGCGAGCTGAAGGCGACGCGTGATGCGAACGCGGCGCTGAAGGCGCGGGTGGCGCGACTGGAGGACGAGTCGGCCAAGTCTGCGCAGTCAATCAAGGCCTCGCTCAACTCGGGTGTCGAGGCGGCGCAGTCGGAGCTGATCGAGACCCGGCTGGAACTGCAGCGGGCGCGGGCAAAGCTAGCCGAGACCGACACGCTCCAGCTCCAGGTCAACCACCTGGTGCAGGAGCGGACACGGCTCCAGAAGGAGCTGGAGACCGCGACCAATGCGGCGCGATCGGCGCATGCGGTGCCCGCGGCCGATCCGGCTGCCAACTCGGCGGCGGTGGCCAAGGCCAAGGACGAGACGCGGCGGCTGGCTGCCATTGCGCAGGACCTGACGCGACGGTTGAAGCTGGCCGAGGCCAAGAACCGCGAGGTCGACTCGCTGCGGGCAGAGCTCCAGCAGGCCAACATCAAGCTGGCCGCCGGCGGGGGCGGAGGTGGGACGGCTGGCTCGCGGGCATCAATTGCAGGCTACCCGGTTGCGGCGTCGGCGGGGGCGGGACTTCCGCCTGTTGCGCCGGTAATCCCGTCGCATCGGCAGGCGTCGGCGCCGGTGTACTCGGCGACAGCGTCCGGCCCTGGCGGGGGCGCGGGCGGGATGTCGCTCGAGGATGAGCTCAACGCGCTCGAAGCCGAGCTCGCGTCTGGGCTCTCGGGCTCTGCGGCGGCCAGCCGCCGGCCGTCGGCGCGCGAGCCGACCGCGCCGCCGTCGCTGGCAGCATCACAGCTGGCGTCGCTCAACGCGCTCGCCGACGAGCTGGGCAAGTCTGTGGCGGTGCTGAGCGATCCCGGGCGGTACTTGCCCGAGGGCGAGTTCACGGCCGCGCTGCAGGGCGTCGGAACCAACGTCAAGGCCATCAAGCGGGCGCTCGATTCTGAGACCAACGCTGCGTACGACGTCGAAGGCCACGCTGTTGCGCTGGTCAAGTTTGCCATGACCATGCCGACAACGGCGCGGGCGGCGCACGAGCCTCAGCGCACTACCCTCCGCGAGCGGGCTCAGGCGCTCTCCACAGCTGTCACCTCGGCGATCCGATTCTGGCGGTCGCGCCATGGAGTGTAGATCAAGCAGCGATCATGGACGTCGGCGGCGCGAGACATGCTCTAATGAACCGAGTCAGCCAGCCGTGTTACATCCATGCGAGCATGCGGCGCGGAATGTGCCAATCGGCATGGTGTGCTGGCACTGTGCCAATCGGCATGGTGTGCTGGCACTGCAGGTCAGCGCAGTAGATGCGAGGAAATCTCCCAAGCAGACGAGCCAGGTCGGGGCGACCACATGTGACTTGCGGCATTTGCCATCGAGATTGGTTGCGGAACTGCGGGCAGACCTCACTCGACGACAACAGCAGTGAGCAGGATCAGAAGCAAACGTATGACTGACGAGGTGCAGGATCACAACGAGAGTGGAGACCTCCTCCGGGCGAGTGACATTCCCGATGCGGCGAGCAAGTACGAGGCACTTGTGGCGGACGTGGGCGGCGTGGTGAGCGGACAGCGTGACAAAGTGGCGAACATGGCCAATGCGGCTGCGGTTATCTTTGAGACGCTTAATGGTTGGATGAGCCAGTTTGGAGCACCGGGCGAGCAGTACACCAACTGGGCGGGTTTCTACCGCGTCGACCTCGAAGCCCGCAAGTGCATCCTTGGTCCCTTTCAAGGTGGTGCCGCAAGAGCTACCATTCCCTTTGGAAAGGGTGTCGTTGGCTCCGCCGCCGAACAGGTCGCCACACAGCTCGTGCCCAACGTGCACGAGTTCCCAGGTCACATTGCCTGTGATTGTGCCTCCGAGTCAGAGATCGTGGTTCCTGTTCTCGATGCAGAGGGCAAGCTTGTTGCTGTCATTGATATCGACTCGCCGCATCGTGCTCGCTTCACCGACATCGACAAGGTCGGCATAGAGGCCGTCGCCGCTGTCATGGGTCTGGCTGGCTCCACCTGA